AAGGGTGAGTGACCTGCAAAGAACGGGTATCTGTAATGCAATGATATGTATGATATGCATGCAATGTTTTCAAGGACCTCGCGGGGTAGACAAGAAAAAAATTGTTAGCATTTGGGATCCAGTAACTTGATTGAAGGAACTTCATATTTGTTGAGAGTCCTTTTTCAAGGGTCAAAGGCTCACCATATCCAGTGGGTCATAGCCCCTGACAACCTTGGCTAGAGGAAAATAAATCCTCTTTGCCCCTTGCTGGGATGTTTGATTTATCATGACCTGCATCGCAAGCCCTTGAGATCCTTGAAATGGGTTAGGATGTATGCAATGGTATGCAATGGTATGATGTCATGCTATGCATGGGGTGATGTAGGTAAACCCTGTTATGAGCCCCAATTAAGGACTATAAACAGACCCTGCAAGAAATTCAGTATACTTTGTTATGAGTCCCAATTAAGGACTATAAACAAAACCTGCAAGAGATCTAGTAAACCCTGTTATGAGTCCCAGTTAAGGACTATAAACAACACCTGCAAGAAATTTGGTAAACCCTGTCATGAGTCCTAGTTAAGGACTATAAACAACACCTGCAAGAAATTTGGTAAACCCTGTCATGAGTCCTAGTTAAGGACTATAAACAAGACCTGCAAGAAAATTAGTACCCTGCTATGAGTCCCAATTAGGGACTATAAACAAGACCTGCAAGTAGTTAGTACACCCTGTTATAAGTCCTAATTAAGGACTGTGAACAAAACCTGCAAGACATCAAGGGTCAGATAACAAGCATGCAAGTAGTCAAGTACGAATGCACACAAGTCACACAAGAGAAGCCCTTAGGGTTTAGGCCAGCATGGGGTCTGGGCATTACCCTCTTGAAGTTGGTGGGTTCAACCTGTCCTATCAGAAGTAACCGGGTTCTAAGGTTCCCAATATCACGGGATTGCTTTCATTGTTCATCGTTTCGATTTAGCCACTGAACTGGCGACCGAAATATTCCAGGAAAGCAACCCTCCATTGAGTGTAGTATCGAGTATCAACCAACCTCGGACTGCACCAAAGTCAGTTATCTCACTACCCTAAAGAGGCCAAGATTGTTCAATTAAGGTTCCTAAGGTCTGTTGATGCTTCACGACACCACGCGGAGGCCCCGTACTCTCCTTGACTGAACTCAAGGGTTACCGGTACACACCAAAGTGCCACATCAACGTAGCAGACTGTTTCAACCATGTCGGTATACCCCGCACAGTTCCCTCACAGTCTTGTTGCTACTTTCTAAGAAAGGTATCCCCCAGATCCGGGTTTAGGACCTATAGAACTCCCAAGCAACCCACAATTTAAAGCACACAAGGAAAACAATTGAAAACATAGTTATGAGCTAGCCCTAAGGTACACCTCACTTTAAGTTTTAGTCTATTCCCCAGCAGAGTCGCCAGTTCTGTGATCGGTGGATCTGGAACTGACTGTTTAACGCTGGTTCGCGAAATGTCGCGGAAGCAAGAGTCGCCACCGTCTTTTATTTTCTCCAAATGGAAAGGACAAAAGCACAGAAAAATTCCTTAAAGAGATTGCTCTCGGTTCGGGAGGTAGGTTATAGAAAGGGAAGGTGCTAGCACCCTTTCTATCCATGGTTATCCATGGGCTCTTAGATACTTGCTCATTTGTGTTTTCAAAAATGTTTGTTTGCTTTTCAATATGGGTTTTAAAAAGTTTCTTTGAAAGTTTCAGATCGACTCATGCGTCAGAGTGTTTGAAAAATTGTTTTGAAAGCTTTTGAAAATGTGTTGGTGTGAAAAGATTTTGATTTGTTTTTGAGGAGAGCAAGTATCTATGAGAACCTACCTACCCTAAGGAATTCGTCTGTGTAAATGTCCTTTAAAGTAGTGCCATCCCACCATTGAGAGGTAGGTAGCACCACCGTTGGAGGTGTTCGGGTCAATTCGAGTTTTTAGGGACATGGTGATCACCAGAGCAATGGGAAGACACCTTAGAAGCTACCCTCATGCCAGGTTCCCGGATCATGAGGACTTACTAAGACATCCTCTACTCGACGACCACCTTTCGAAAGGCAACAGTGAGGCGTACCCTAGGGGTGGTGTGTGCGAATTGTGTGTCATATTTCAGTTATTTGTCTTGTCATGTTTTGTCGTGTTCTACGCTTGATTTTAATTTGTCCATTCATTCTTGCATGCATATTTAAGAGTTATAAAGTTTGCGGGAAAATAAATCTACAGCTATTACAAATGGCGCGGGTCCACATCGCCAAAATTAAACCGGACCCGATTTAGCGAAAAATAAATAAAGCGAATAAATAAAAGTGCGGGAAATTTAAATTACATGGCTTTGGGAGATTTACATAATTATAATGAACGATAAAAATAAATCATGCGAAATTAAGGAATTAAACAAAACTAGGGCGTTGGACCCTTTTACAAAATATCAAATTAATAAGGAATTAAAAAAATGAAAAATGGTATTTTTGTGTTTTTTAAGATTTAAAAGAAAAAAGAATTAATTAAAGCTAAAAAAGTGGAGGTAAAACCCTAATTCTAATTATTTATTAATTATTATGAAAATATTGAAATTTGACTAATTTAACCTAAATTAATTTTTATGTACAATTTACTCATGAAAATAATAAATAAAATAAGCAATATTATTACAAAAAAGGGAAAATTAAAAAAAGATTAAGATAAACAATTAAACCTAAGTTCTATATTTTTTATATTTTGTTATGAAAAGAATTAAAATTAAAAAACCTAATTATACTAAATTCAATTACACAATTTATTCATGAAAATAAAATAATTAAAATAAAATATTTATTACATTTTCATCTTTTTCTGGATTTTTATGATGTTTTATATATTTTGTAAAAAAAAGAGAAAATTAATTAAAGCAATAAAAATAAATAATACAATAATTAAAATAATAAAAAGAAAAGAAAAGCAAACCAGGGGGGGTTCAGGCCCCAGATGGAGGTGTTGGCCCAAGAACATTGGCCCATTAAACCAGAGATTTGTTGACTTTTCCAGCTTGGGTGCCAGCGTATTGACTTGCCTTATAGTGTACCTTCAACATCAACCCTTGATCTGGGACCATTAGGCATGTGTACGTTTGGATGAGGGTGGAATATGGTGTACCACGAAGGTGTGCCTGCATATGATTAATAAAGGAAAAATAATATTGGAAAGGAAGAAGACCTGGGATCGAACCCAGGTCATTCATGTTACAAACCATCATGTGCACCACTGGACCAAGCGCTTGTCACTTAACATATAATATCAAATAAATATAATAAGTAAAACATGGTGTTAGTGGACGATCTGGCGCGAATTTTCAAACCAGCCTATCACGTGGTGACAACGAGGTTGTCTTCTTCGTTTTTTCTGAAACATAAACGTATGGCCACGGTTTTTATAGCGTTGCTGAAGGGGTGATTTAAGAAAATAGCGAATAGCTCATATCCAAACATAAATTAGGCGCGATGGTCTAGTCTTCTTCGTCTTGATGAGCTGATTGCAATGGTGGTACTCATGAACCCTAATTTTTCCTCTACGCAAAAGCCCTATTTCAAGAAACCTGTAACCCTAAAAAACGCGCATGGTGGATTCACGTATGGCTAATGAAAATGCAATCAAACATGTCAGTTAGCTTAGAAACATCATTGTGATCATGAATACATAAATAAAAATGCACAAATATGCTTGAATCATGCTATGCGAATTCAGAAATTTTGATGTACAGTTTGACTTAGGGGTACCAATTCAAGGCGTTTTGGTTGTTGTTAATGATTGAGAAACGTCCAGTGGTGCTTCAGGATGCTAATGGAACAAAAATTGGAGCTTGAATCGACCTTTAAGGCACTTTTCAGATTTGAGTTTTTAAGAGAAATTTTCAATATGCAATGGCTTGTTTGGGCGCAGCTTGCAGTCTCTTTGGCATAGGGTTGTGTTCTAGTACTTGTATGGAACGATTTAGGTCAAGAAAACTGCATAAAATCCTTTGTAATCTTTGATTGAAGATTTGATTTGCTTAAGGATCTTTTTGAATCTTATCATGTGCATTTTGGTGTCAATTAGTTCCAATCAACCCAAAACCTTCCATAATTGACTAAGCACGAGATATTGAGCCTATAAGGTGCATAAAAAGATTTTTTTAGGTTAGGTTTATATTTTTCATGTATTAAAATGATTTAAATGAATATAAATTAATATAAATTCAAATAAATAATTAAAAAATATGAAAATACTTCCCTTTGGGCCTAGTGGTCGTGCATAGGCTTGGCATGAAGAAATTTGGAAGAAAAATGGGCCCATTTGCATTTTTAGGCCTTTTGCATCAATGTTGACTTTTCAAAATTCCCAAAAATTTCCCAACTTCCACAAGGCATAACTTGCTCAATTTTTAGGATTTTCACATGTTCTTGGACATTTTGGAAAGGTCTTTGAGTCCTTTAACCAATTCCTTTGGTCCCATATCATTTTGATTTACCAATCTCAAGTTATGGTCTTTGACTTAAAGTCCCTTTTTGTTGACTTTTGAAAATGACCTATAATGTTGAAATTGATAACTTTTTGTGAGAGCATTTCTTGGACTTGAAGTATGAAGATGAGTTGTAGGAAATGTCTTTCTCTTCAAAATGAGCTTTGGATGGAATTTTTCTGATAATCCATGTGAAAGTTATGCCCTGGTCAATTTCAGTTGACTTTTTCAGCTGTCCAAATATAGCAACTTTTGCATCTTTGATGATTTCTGAGCCAAATTTTGAGAATCATGATCAAGCATTGATCAAATGATGTTTGTGGCTTCAAAATTATATATTGACCAAAAATTTGAACTTTTGACTGTCAAATGACCATTTTGCCCCTACAGTTGACTGTAGTGCAATTTAGGGTTTTGACTGTGCAATTTTGAGCTGAATGCCTTGAAACTTGACATGAGGATGCTTGACCATATTTGTAGGCATATGAGACTTGATTGGGCCTTTGAAAAGTTCATTTTCTTGATCAGGACACAAACCCTAGTTTTGACTGTATAGGAGACAGTTGAGCTGCACAACCCTTGGGGAATTTTGTGACCTTGACTTGACAAATCTTGGAGAATATGGGAGGGCAAATTTTGGGGTACAACACAAGCCATTGGGTCTTAGCATTCCTGTTGTCTGCAGTTCTGCAACAAATATGGTCACTCTCATAACTTACAATTTGCCAATACTGTTGCCCATTCCTCAAACTGAACCTGAGGTGAAACTTGCAGCCATCCATACACTTAACTATAATCCTCTTTGCATCATTCTTCCTGATATAGACATTTTTTTGGTTTTCCATTCCATACTCTTTAATTGCATCTCTTATTGTTTCCTTGTTTGAAAACATCAATCCTATCTTAAACTGTAATCCCTGCCCACTTTTATATGTTGGGAACCTTTCTTGATCTACTTCATCATCAGTACCAGGGGGTGTGTATAAATGTTCCTCATCCTCTTCATCTTCAGATTGTGATTGCAAGTTCACTACACTAGGTTCCTCACCTAAGGTCTCAGGAGGCAGCACTGACGTCCAGTCCATCTCATCACACTCTCCACTATCCTCACAATTGTTACTATCTTCACTGAAATCATTATTGGGTTGGCTCTCAGCATTTATTTGAGGTCCTTGTTCAGCAATATTTGGCTCAAAAATTTCAGGTTCAGGTACAACATCTTCAGTTTCAGCAATATTGGGTTCAGTAGGTTCAGCAATATTGGGTTCAGCAGGTTCAGCAATATTGGGTTCAGCAGGTTCAGCAATATTGGGTTCAGTAGGTTCAGTAGGTTCAGCAATATTGGGTTCAGTAGGTTCAGGTACAATTTCAGGTTCTTGTTCAACAGGTTCAGCAACAGCAATATTGGGTTCAGTAGGTTCAGGTTCATGTTCATGTTCAGCAGTTTCAACAACATCAATATTTGGTTCTGGTTCAGGTTCATGTTCAGCAGTTTCAGGTTCAACTTCACAATGTTCAGCTACAGCAATATTTGGTTCTGCTACACCAATCAATTCTACATCATCATCTTCAATTACTTTATCCAACTCACTAGGATCCACAATTTCAGGTGGATCAGACACCTTATGCTCCACATAAACATCAATTACTTCATGACCTACAACATCTTGTCCAAATTGCAGTACATCCCTATCATTGTTTAATGGCCTTAGACCACGGGTAAAGCTAAATTTAGGGTTCCTATACCACAAAGATCCAATGTCTATATAACCCTGACCTTTAACCAGTGCCTCCAAATCCATGTATGACATAAAGTCAACATCAAACTTCCAATTCATCTCAGTAACCTCGCCCCCAACATACAAATGTACAGGTTCATTTACAAATCTACCCCTATGGTGTAATCTTAACCTCACTAATGTCTCTGGTGGTGGCCTGAAATTAACAATATTAAAATGCAATGTTAATAAACTAACCCACTAAAAGCCAAACATTGAATATTCGTTCATGGTGGACCACAAAAGAGAAAATACTAAACCCACTAATATGAGACAATGGTGGACCACACAGAACTATATAAAAACATGTTCAAGAAGACAACAAAACTTACCTCATAGAATATCTTTCTCCATCTTTCCTCATCGCTCTAAATATCAGAATGATTATACGAAGCTTTAAGAGAGAGTGTGAAGGTAGTATGTAGTAGGAGTGTGATGGTTGAAGCTGGTACCACAGAAGGAAGACGAAGATGGAGTGTTGGAGGTCGTACCAAGAAGGAGGGTTGAAGATGATCAGAAGAAATCTCGTACGGGCGGATGGAAGAGGAAATTAGGTTAAGCAATTTGGGATTTTCAGAAAATATGAATTATGAAATTAAAAATTCATTTGGAAATTAATATCACTTATTTAAATGTTTAAAAAATATTATTCTAAATAAGAAATAAGAAAATAATACGTGGCATTACTCTCCCTGTGCCATGTCACTTTTTGGGCAGCCAGATGGAGGGGGGCTTCAAAAATCCCAAATTTGAAAACTTTGGGGACTAGAAACCTGGCTTTTAAACTAGGGGGATCTAAACTCCAAAAACATTAAACTAGGGGGGTCAAAACTGCATTTAAGCCTATTATTAATAATAAAACAGGCCTCAGAATTGCTGGCATCATAGTCAGAACTTGGTTTCCCCCTGTGCTAGTCAGAACACCTGCAATTTGGTTATTTCTCCCCAAAACAGAAGATATGCCTAAGACATTTTCAGCAGATATCATGGCGCTTCAGAAATAAGGAGAATCAGAAACAAAAATCAGAGGCAAGTACGCCTTTGCTAATTCTAACTCTGAGTTTCACTTTCTTCAAGGTAGTTCTGAACTGATCCATTCTCCAATTAAGCATGCAGAGGCGTAAAAATCTCAGAACATAAACAACATCAGAAGCATGATATCTACATTGTGTGTATTGAGCATGCAAATCTGATGATGCTTAAGCAGCGTGGTAAGAGTCAGCAAGTTCTTACCTTATTGTTGGAAGAAAATATGTGAATTGGAGCTAGCCTTAACTCTGATGGTGTTCTGGACAGGTTCTTTTTTGAATGGGTGGATGGAGAGTATATATATATATATATATATATATATATATATATATATATATATATATATATATATATATATATATATATATATATATATATATATATATATATATATATATATATATATATATATATATATATATATATATATATATATATATATATGGTCAGAAACTGTATGGGCGTCTTTCTTTAGTCAAGAAACATATTGGGTACAAATGAGGTTTGGAGGCAAGAGATTCCAAGGTTGTGTTCAAAGATCTTTAAAACACTAGTAATTTTGACAGGGGTTTCAAAGTGTTTTCTTGCTAAAATTTTCTGTTTCCTTTCTAGCAATTTTTCTGGGTTTTGGACCGGGATTTTTCAGTGGAAAATGGTGCTCTATTTATAGGCAAAGCTTTGTGGATTTTTTAAACGTTAAATGGCGCCAATACCATGCAATAGGTGTTGACTTGCTCTTGAAGGAAGTTTATGAAAAGTGGTGATGATGGACAGCTTTTCAGCCTAGGCTGGAATAGTAAGCGAGGATTAAGGGAAAGTGACACCCATAGGCGAAAAGTGGCGCATAGGTCCATGCCTAAATCTGCACATGAACGTTGTTATGCTTCACGTGGAAAGACCCTTTAGACAAATGTTCAAAAGTAGTTGTGAGAATTAATGGGCATTAAATGGTGATGAGATTGGTCAAGACTAAGAAATCTTGTAATGTGAGATTTGCATCATTACCTATATCTAACCAGCAGTTCCTACTTCAGCATACAACACACTCAAACTCTGATCTTAGTATCCTGCTGTCCCAGCAAATTCCGAGGGTTCTCCAGACCTTCTAGCATGTTCCTTGGATTTGCTTCTGAAATTTCTGGACTTAGAGATTCTGTTTTAGTGTAACACCCACTCTTCTGAGCCGTTCATTTTCGGATTCCATCATGTTCTGAAGGAGCCCTCAGGCTTCTTTGCTTTCTTTGCATTCCTCTAACAAACTTTGGCTGAACTTGCGTAACTGTTAAAAGAGCCATGTTCTATTTTAAGATTACGTGCTGAACCACGTTTACAACCTCTAACTGAGTTGGTGTAGCTGCTGAAGAGCCACCTTCTGACTGAATGTTATGTGTTGAGCCAAGTTTGCAACTTCTGACCGTTTCTGCCTGGAGGTTGGTTCAGAAGTTCTGAGGTGCCATTTTTCTTAAATACTTTAGAAACAATTCTAAGTATTTGGAATTTAACTTTTTCAAGGTAAGATTTGACTTTTAAGCTTGCAAATGACCACTTTTCTCTTGTAAATGGTTTACTTGAAAAGAAACGATAATTCAGGGCTTGGATTTGTTTAAGAGAAACTCTGAGAATCCAGGATGATTTCCAGAAGAATGAGAGCGCAAATTTTGGGGTACAACAACGTTGATTAGCCATGAAACAATAATTTTCCTCTTCATCTCTATCACTTGAGCTTTCATTACTTGAGGCATCACTATCGCTATCCCAAGCAACATAGGCTTTTCTAGAATTCCTAGAGTTATTTCGCTGGCCCTTTCTTTTCTTATTAGCAAGAGATGGACAATTCGGTCTAAAATGACCCAGTTTTCCACATTCATAGCATATACCTTTTGTCTTATATATTTTTTTGTCTTCATATAGAGGATATAGATTGCCTTCTAAATTTCACAAGATTTTTGTCAGAGTGTTTGACACCATTCTTTCAAATGTATTAATTGTATCTCCTTATAAATAATCTCATTTGTTCATCATCTGAATCTTCTTCATCACAAGAATCACTATTATTAGCGTTCTCATCCTTTGAGGATTTTTAAGTTGAATCTCTAAGAGCTTTGGACTTTGTTTCTTCCTCCTTATCGGTGTCTTTCTCCTTTTTATTCTTTTTTTCCAAGCTTCTTTTCTTGTTTATCCAAGAAAGTGAGTCCTTGCTCGTGTTCCTCCAACTTTCCAAACAAAGTGGTGAGATCGAGTGTTGAAATATTATTGGCTTCCTTGATCACAGTAACCTTTGGTTGCCACTTTCTAGTAATACATCTCAAAATCTTGTTAGTAGTAATAACACTGGAAATAAGATTACCTAGGAAATTTAAACGATTAATAAGATGGGATATCTGCTTTTGCATTTGAGCAATGGTTTCACCATGCTTCATGCGAAAGAGTTTAAACTTTAAGTGTATTAATTATATCTTCTTTGACCTCCTTATTTCCCTCATAGGTAACTTGTAGAGTATCCCACATAGCCTTAGCGATATCACAGTGGGAAATTCGATAAAACTCATTAACACCAAGAGCAGATACGATAATTTTTTTTCTTTCCAATCATGTGCCCACTTCTTATTATCTTTCTCATCCCATAATGATTATGGATTAGGTGTAACAACACCTTCAACCTTATATGTCACCTATGTTGGAACATTTTGAATGACTTCCCAAACACCTTTGTCATATGAGTTGACATGAATTTGCATACAAGCTTTCCAATAACTATAGTTTTCTCCTGTGAAAATTAGGACTCTTTTATAATCCCCTTTAGGTTCGTACGCCATCTTCTAAAAAGTTTTGAAGCCGGAATGAATCGGGATCTTGATGCCACTTGTTAGACAACAAGACCTTATCTATAGGGGGAGAATAGATCACCAAGCCAAAAAATCCAGATAATTTTTTGGTTTTTAGAAGTAGTTAGAAAACAGAGTACACACAGAAAGTTTTTATATACATAAAAAATTATCGTCTATACGAACAAATCTATTGGAAGTAGGATATGAAAATATAAAGATATATATGGAATGAACAATATAATATTGAATTTATAAACTTCAATCAAGTAACAAAGTATTAATCATTTATAGCAAGTTACTAGCAATACTATTTCCAATGGTAACTAGCAAAAGAACAAATAAAACAATTTGTCAAACACTTGGTGTGCGACCGAATTTTATTTTAAGTTGTGTTGATAAAAAAAAGAAATTATAATCGAAAGTGATTATAAGCAAATCAATGGCTAATTCAAAACAAAAACAGCGACGGAAAAATTCTTACGAGTCGATCTATTACTCAATGCTATTTGACAAATTGATTGATGAAAATTAAAGAAATTAAAGCAATAAGAAAAAGATACACGAGGATTTGTTTAGGAAGTTTGCCAATATTACTCGCTATGGCTATTTCTCCCCCCTGTTCCAATTTCAGAATTAAGATAAATTCTTACAATGCAAAAAGTTACTACAAGAGAAGTGTTCCAAGAGCAACCCTAGAAACCCTAACTGTTTGTTGTTGATTCTACCCCTTCTCTTATTTTAATCTTGAGAAAGACCAATACATAATAGCTACCAATTGATTTGTCGAATATTTCTACTCCTTTACATTCTTTATCTCTAAAGCTTTCATGCACGGTTATTTATACCTATTACACATAACACTTCAATTCGATTCTCTATTCTCGCGCTACTTCCTTTGTGTTCTTTATCTCCAAATGCTTTCACTAGGCTGAAATTCTCTCTTGAATATCTTGCATGAAAACCCCCAAATAAAACAACGATCTTGGAGGACAAACCTGCAGTTTTTCCGGATGAAACTCCCTACAAATCTCAATCCAATAATCCCGGATACACAAGAACCTAATTGGATGTTATCAAACCTCACCTAGATGGAACCCCCACAAAAGATGATTATGTTTGATTTTTCTTTGTGTATACATATGTTGCAGGTTGAAGATGAAGAACAAATGCAGTAAGTGTTTATAGTTTCATCAAGTTGGAATGATGCATGAATGATGTATTTATAATTCTGGAAGTTTATACTCAAATAGGAGATTTTCGAAATTAAAAAGAATTGAAAAATGACCCAATCAAATAGTATGAGCTGGCCTTAAAATTGTATGCGCCGACACATAGGTCAAAATTTAATTATATGTGTCGGCCTGAAAAACAGATGTGTCGGATTAAGCATGGCAGTACCATTTTGCCTTTAAAACTGTAGTACATGTGTCGACCTGAAATTTGTATGTGTCAGCATATAAAATAAGAAATTCCGCAATTCAAAAAAGCTTCAGTATGTGTTTCGCTC